CCCCCTCCCCGCACCCCCACTCCACCCGCGCGTCCCACTCTCCCGCCCAAGTTTACGCTTTTGCAAGAATGGGAACTTCTTTGCGGCCGGAGCAGACGGTGCGGGCAGCGGGTGACGCCAGCCGTGCTTTCTGGCGGCGGGGGGCTCCGAAGAAATGTTCCCGGGGACTGGGAAGCGGCCGGGCGTACTTGTGACCGACCACTGAAGGACTGAAAATGAAAGTTCCTGGGAAATCCATTTAGCTTCTCCCACTTCCCCTACCAAACCATCGGTCTGCTTCGGAGAATCCTAAATCCGAAAGGAATGCTTTTTCTTCCTTCCAACACCAGAGGCGGGAAGAGGGGTACTGGGGACGGCAGAAGGGTCTGGCCCCAGAGCAAGTAATGGGGACCCCCCGACACACACACACACACACACACACACATCCTCTGTTTCACTCTTTCTTAGGTAGAAACCATGTTTTCCAATCTCGCCAGCGTTTTCCTAGCTTGTGTCCGTTAACTTATCCGTGTGGACAACTGTGGCCACAAATCAAGGTGGTTATTAAAAAAAAAAGTTTACCTTAAATGACCGTCTGTGAGAAAAAAAACAAACATAAGACCCTCACTATTAAATATTGAAAAGTCTGGGAGGGAAAGGAAAACTTTCTTTGAAGGGGCACTTTGTAGTGTTTTTTGTTAGTTTTTAACTTTGCAAGATACCAGTTGTGCTATTTTAAATCAGCAAAGTGGGCAGCATCGCTGCTTGAAACTTCTAAAGTTTTTGCAATTGCAGTGACTACTACAAAAACCTTTCGTCCTTCCTTGTCTAACAGAGTAAACCTTGAAATACTTTAAATTATTAAGCATCTGAGATTTAGTATTTATTTTATTTTCTTTAAATATTTTATTGTGGTTTTAGAGAAAATTTACATAGCAAATTAGATTCTCATTTAACAATTTCTATACCTATTATTCAGTGGCATTGGTTTGCACGATGTGTCAGCATTCTCATCATTCCCATTCCGGTTGTTCTGTTTCTCTTAATCTAGCTTCCTTGTCCCCTGTTACCATCTCCTCTTTGGTTTAGGGTAAATGTTGACTGTTAGGTCTCGTTTAGTATTTATTTTAGAGGAATGTTGATGTAAAGCTTGTTGCTCTAGGTTTGAACAAATTTAGGCAGTGTTTGCTGAGGCCACTGGCCTGGCTTAGAAAGCCATTGGAGTGTGACCCTGAGTAGGTTAAATTTTGTGTATATTCTCAATTTCCTGTGAAAAGAGAAAAGGACTGATTGCCTACTTAATTAGCTGCTCTGAGACTCAAATGTGGTGGAAATGTGGAAGCGTTTCATAAACTACAAGGCTACTAAGCCCTGAGCAATTTGGGGTTTAAGTGGAAGTGAAGATTCTGCGGACGTGGAAGGCTCACTAATGGATCAATCCGTCATTTCCTCTGTGCTCAGTCTCCTCATCCATCACTGTGTCTCCCTCTGAACAGAGTTGAAGTCAGTTAAACATTTACTGAAGGCCACTGCATCAAGTTACAGTGTCAGACCTGGGCGATAAAAAAATGAGTGGTTTTGGCTCCTGCATTCCAGAGGCTTCTATCATAAAATAGAAAAGAAATATGCTTGGTATAAACAAATTAACTCCTGGCCACAATGTTGTGAGTAGGTCTCAGCTGTTCTCCTTTTACAGAGAAGGCAGCGGAATCTTAGTTACCCAGGACTTTCTCCAGTCTTCACTCCAGCCAACACAAACGACCACCAGGAGAACAAAGCCATTGGCCAGACAGTGATTAATAAGAGCACCTTGAATGTAAGGAACATCTGTTCAAGACCTAGAGAGGGAAGTAGGTATGAAGGTCTAACCCCTTTGCCGTTGAGTCAACTCATGGCGACCCTCTAGGACAGAGTAGAACTGCCCCATAGGGTTTCCAAGCAGCAGCTGGTGGATTCGAACTGCCGACCTTTTGGTTAGCAGCCAAGCTCTTAACCACTTCACTACCAGGGCTCCTTGAAGGTCTGGGCCCTCGCTTTGTTTCTTCTAGTACAGATTGTCCTACCAGTCCCTCCAGCTCATGGGTTGTTGGAGGACCCCATGAGATAGTGTATGTGAAAGTGCTTGTTAAGTTACTGTTATGGACTGAACTGTGTCCCGCAAAAATGTGTGTCAACTTGGCTAGGCCATAATTCCCAGTATTGTGTGATTGTCCACCGTTTTGTCATCTGATGCAGTTCTCCTATGTGTTGTAAATCCAGCCGCTATGATGTTAACAAACAAATCTGTCATGGAAGAAGTACAACTGGAATGCTGCTTAGAAGCAAGGATGGCAAGATTACGTCTTACATACTTTGGACACATTGTCAGGAGGGATCAGTCCCTGGAGAAGGACATCATGCTTGGTAAAGTAGAGGGTCAGTGAAAAAGAGGAAGACCCTCAACGAGATGGACTGAC